TCTACCGATGAAACATTTCCACACAGGTGATGAAAACCTGACACGATAAAGCCCCCGATGTCTGCGGCGTTACAGTTTTAAATTATTATTTATTTTTTTTACATACATTTTGTTTTATATTACAAGAAGACGTGTGAACATTATGAGCAATTTTCAGTGGAAATGTGCAATTGTTAAAATTATAAATATATATTTCTCATGTCTGTATGTTTTCTCAAATCTTTGCCGAAGTAAAATATGTGTCAGTGTTGTCCAGTGCAACTTCAGTTTGGATGACCTAGCTTTTTCAAAGGCATAGTCCGCCTTTTATTATATGGAATGTGTATAGCTATATACACTATATTGCCAAAAGTATTGGGACGCCTTTACACGCACATAAACTTTAATGTTAGTCCGAAGGGTTCAGTATTGGGTTGGCTCCACCCTTTGCCGCTATAACAGCTTCAACTCTTCTGGGAAGGCGTCCACAAAAATTTTTCTTTTTATTCTTTATTTTTATTACGTGTCTTTTGTTGGGAAAAAAAGACATGTTTTAATGTTTTTCTTTTCTTTTTAATATTCTTATCGAAATTTTCAAATAAAGAAATTGTTACAAGGTTTGCTTTTACAATGTTGCCATGTCTATGTTGCAACATGCCACATACCTGGTGGAGGCCTGGTGATGTGAGGGCTTCCCTTACACCTCCTGTTCAGCACCCTCAGGAGTTGGGACAGTGTATGCAGGACACAGAGTGGCATGGAACCTACAGCTGGTCCAGATGCAGTGAGGTGTCAGCAGTGCTTCTGGAAACTGGAGAGTTCCGTCAACCAGGAATGTATTTTTAAAGTTTAACTCCTGAGTTTAGTGTCACTTTATGTCGGAGGCATGCTTAAATGTAGTTTATTTGTGGAAATTTGGGTAAAATCATGAGAGGAAATTTCGTCATTTTGACATGATGCAGTGGAGTCATTGAGATGGCTTTTGTTGTTTTTTAGGGGTGCAATGGGCTTTAATTGGTTCCGTGATGGTTACAGAAGCTGCTTTTAACTATCGTGCACATGCTCTAGTGCCCCAAATGCCCCTCATAAGTCTCATTGTTTTACTTTTTATCACAGAAACAAAAAAAAACAGAAAAAGAAATATTAAAAAATGAAAGTCCACGAGTAATCATCAAATAAACACAAAAAAGAAAAAAAAAAACACAAAATATGAAGAACACTATACTAAGCTACATCAAAATAAAGCTACAACTACAATATACACAAAAAGGGACACGCTCTAAAAAAAAAGCATACATTGTTGTTAATAGTTACGGTACTTGAATGTATTTTTAAGATTTAAAGTGACATGTTAATGTCAGCACTTACCTTAAATGATGTCTCTTTAGTCCGATCTTCCTCTTCTTTCCTTTCATTTTCATCTGTCCCTCCAGCGTTGCGGCGGCTCTCCGATCCAGCGCTGACTCCTCTCTGCTTGCAGGCCCTTCCGATCCAGCGGTGTCTGCAGGCGGGTGCACGCCATCCATAGACTTACCTTCCGTCTCTGCTCATCTCCCGGCCGAGAATCCGAACTGCGCATGCGCCCGCCCCAAGATGCTTTGCGGCCGCCCGAGCAGTTTCGGATTCTCGGGCGGGAGCGTGCAGCGAAGACAGGGGTAACTTTAAACCGCTTTTAAAGCGTTTAAAAAAAAAACTTTTTGCATATATCTACTGCTAGATACTGTATAGATATATACAGTGTATATATATCTGCAAAAAATACCGGAGGGTTTAGAAACCCTTTAACTATCGTGCACATGCTCTAGCGCTCAAAATGCCCCTCGTGAGTCTCAGTCTTTTACTTTTTATCACAGAAACAGGAAAAAGAAATATGAAAATATGAAAGTCCACGAGTAATCATCAAATAAACAGAAAAAAAGAAGAAAAAAACCCCACGAAATTTAAAGAACACTATAGCAAACTACATCAAAACAAAGCTACAACTACAATATACACAAAAAGGGACACGCTCTAAAAAAAGGATACATTGTTGTTTATAGTTAGGGGACTTGAATGTATTTTTAAGATTTAACTCCGGAGTTTAGTGTCACTTTAGGAATTTGAGTAAGCAGAACATGATCTGATTGCTGCCTAAGTTAATCGTAGGACGGAATTGATCATTATAGAATGATGGGGAAAGTGACCATTGCATCGTATAGGGTGCAGCCTTTGCCCCACAATGAAGGACGTACCATGAATAGTTATTCAGTTGTAGAGTCACAGCTGATGAAGCGTGCAAGTAATTGTTGTTGCCCGTGATTGGAAAAGCCACGGGTAATTTCAACCGAATCCGCTTGCAAATCATCTAACTGCAATTTTCTTAATCCTGGTGAACATAAGCAGGGAGCGTGGACCAATCAGAAGAGTCTTATCTAATCAGAAGAATCAGAAGAATCCTAAACCAGAATTGTCTGGAATTGCAGTCCGGGCAGTTCTGTGTAAAATTATTCAGAAGGAAAAAACTAAAATTGTGAATTTGTTTATTCTCCTGATCCCAATATTACGAGCCGCAGGTCACCCAACCCTGACCGTTTCCACCACCGGCGATCATTTTTCCCTTTAACCATCGAGTAATTCCACTCGTAGCCGCAGAACACAAGACATTCCCGGAGAAGATTAAGAATACAAACAGAACTCAAACAATGGTAGAAAGCGTCCTATGAAACCTGACCACTCAGAGGTTAATATGTATGTGGAGTTATCCCGTTGCCACTACGTGAACCCTCCAGAGTGTGTGGTTCCCCCCGCGGTACGGAGAAATAGCCGCGCAGCGTTTACGCACACAAACAATACTTTTTTTTTTTTTCGGGCCTGTGTTTACGCTATCTCCGCTGCAGCGTATGATTTGGATATTTCATAACATAATTATCAGTTGGCAGCTGGTAATTAAGGGTGAAGGAGCGATGACTACAGGCGTTATTTAGACTGGGGTTTACAAAGCTGGAAGCAGACGGTACTCCGGGCGACTTGAGGTTACCACTTGATGTCTTCACTCCGTTAACCTTTTCCTGGCAGAGGGAGGAACCAAAGCCATTGTATCTGCAGCCTGAATGGATTTCTGTGTACTGTTAACTGTATTTCATAATAGATGACATCAACAAGTTACTATATAGAGACTGGAATAGGGAGAGATGGGTCATGAATGGGTATTTCAGCATGACAGTGACCCAAAACATACCGCCAAGGCAACAAAGTGTGGGGGTGGGACGGGGGGACCATATAGAGACTGGAATAGGGGGAGAGTGCTGGTGATGCCAACAGCAACTCAATTCTCTGGGTATTTCAAGGGTACTAACAGACAAGAGGCACCCCAAGAGCTGAACTGTAAACCCACTACCTTGCTCCCCAACCTCTCTCTCTTTATACGTTAACCCAAGATTGTGTCTTGAGCAACGCAGAAGCACACACCCATGTAGTCTCATGAGCCCCAGGCTTGCAGTGTGCTGGGTGGCAGGGAGCTTTCAACATACTTCCTGTCCAACATTAGAGGCATACTTGGTGACTGTCTGCCACATTTGTATGCCTCTATTGACCATGGATCCCCAAACTTTCCTACCAAAGGGCCAGTTCACTGTCCTTAAGACTTTGATGGGGCCAGAGTATGGCCAGCAGAAGTAGAAAATGCCCCGGCGTTACTGGGAATAAACATTGCCCCAGGTTTGGTGGTCAGTGTGAGTAAAAAAATAACCTTGCTCCTGTGGTTATTGGGAGGAGGAATAATGTCCCATTGTTAGTGTGTGTGAGAGGAATGGTTTCCCAACTTTGTTGTCAGTGGGAAGACTTCTGTCCCATTGTTGGGGTCAGTGGTAGGACTTGTGTGCCATCGTTTGTGTCAGAGAATGTAAAAGGGCCCTATCAGTGGTGTCAGTGGGAGCAATTGTGCCCCATCAATGGTTTCAGTGGTAGGGATAGCGCCCCATCATTGGTGTCAGAGGTAGGAATGGTGCTCCTTCGGTGTGTCAGTGGGATGGAACTGTACCACATTATTGGAGTCATTGGAAAGAATCATTTCCAGGGCCAGTTAAATGCACACAAAGTTCCATATCTGGCCCGTGGATTGCAGTGTGGGCACCCATGCCTAGACCCAGAATCATAAGAGCATCTATCTGGCAGTGTGCTGTGTGGCCTCTAGTGTCTGGCAGGAAGCTTTCAATGCACTTTATATCCAACACTAGAGGCACACTAGGTGACTATCTACTACACTTGTGTGCTTCTTCGCCCAGATCTGTGATTCTTCGATCCATCTCCATCTTGTAGTATGCTGTGTGGCCTTTACTGGCTCCAGAAATAGGGGCACATTTGGAAATTGTCATGTATTCCTTTAAGAACAGGCAATTGCTTTGGCCCCCTTATTTTTTCTCTCTCCCCCCCCCTTTCTTCTCTCCCCCCCCCCTTTCTTCTCTCTCTCCCCCCCTTTCT